ATGCTTTGATTCGTAATAAAAAGCCAAGAGTTATATTAATCATTATTTTTATTTAAATTGGCCTTCATATCTTATCCAATAAAAAATATTAAATCTTTTGTTCTTCTTCTTCTTCAACAAACATGAAATGTATTCCGTTGATATTTTAACTAAACGTATGCTACGTCATTTACCTTCACGTACAGGCAATTTACTTATCTAACGTAGCATACCTAATATCATGCATAAATAATTTCAGTTATCTTCATTTCATTTATATATTCTAATTTATTAATATTTCAATCACATTTCCTTTTTGTGTTAATTTGATCATATCATTAAAACTTAAAGTTTTGATTAAAATGAAAATTTTACAGCACTTTCCAAGTTTCAAATAATAACTCACATAGTAATAATAATAATAATAATAGTAGTAATAATAATAATAATAATAATAATAATAATAATATGATAATAATAATAATGATAATAATAATAATAACAATAATAATATATATTAATGTTGAAAAGGAAAAAATTGAAATGGAAATAAAATTTTGACAAAAAAGAAAAAGAGAAAGTATAAAAATTAGAAGAAAAGATGTTAAATTAAAAATTATGCAAAAAATGAGGAAGAGAGAGGGAGAGAGAGAGAGAGGGAAAGGAAAAGGGAAAGGAATTTATGCGAAATATTTGTTGATAAAATGTTAAAGTAGTTAAGTAAAGGAAAGTACAGCTGTTCATTCATTAAGTTCACTAAGTCTATTTGCTATTATCACCCAAATGCCTTATAATTTCTTCCTATTTCTTTGGCTTTTTTCATTTCTTTTTCTCTTTCCTAAAAAAATAAAACGAATTAAAATATTTGAATAATTAAAAAAAGTTTTGATTAAACAAAGAAAGAAATGAGAAATATAAAAGAATGAATCTTATAAAGTAAGTTAATCAATCATTCAACAATGGCTTACTTTTATTGTTAAAGTAAAAATGAATGAATAATTATCATTGTTTATTAGTTTCTTTCTCTTTACCTCTCTCCTTCTCTCTCTCTCTCTCTCTCTTCTCATTCGTAATATGTATATGAAATCATATCATATCATATCATTCATTCATTACCGTTAGAATTTTAGAATAAATTTTAAAAAAATTTAAAAAAATATTAAATATTCATTTAAGAATAATTATGAAATCATTTGTTAAACAGGTATGTATACCTGTAATTAATTTCATATTTTTCATAACGGTAAGTATTATTAAAAAGGAAAAAATGAATTCATTATTGAACTGAACGAAATAATCAACAAATTATATTGAATGAATCATTTCACTAATATTATTCGATTACTGTATGAGAATCGATGATAAAATTTACTTCAAACAGTAAAAGAGAAAAAAAACAAAACTAATATAAATATGCTTACTGTAATAATTTAATACTTGTAATTATTAACTTCTATATATCCAATTTGACTTAATCAAAAACAATCGCTTAAAAATGAATGAAAATGAAATTTAATTATTTCAATTAATTATTAGTATAACCTATATTTATAGTAATAATAAAGACTATTCGATATAAATCATGATTTCTTTACCTATGAAATCACAAATCATTTATTATTTGTAATTAAAGAGAACGAAATAATCACATTATTACTTTGCACTATTTCCATCACATTTTGATTATTCAATTTTTCCTTGAAATTAAATCTGAAGAAAATAAAGAAAATGACAACTCAATGATAGAAATCTACATGTTTTGCTAGAAAAAGACCAGGAAAAGGTAATTACAGGTGTGGCTTTAAGAAATCCACAACTAATAATAATAATAATAATTCAGCTGCTAACAGATGTCCAATATTTGTTTAATCATTTATTAAAACTTAAATAATTGCAAATTATTGGCATATCGACAAAATTTCGCCCGAAATAGAAAATGCGAAATTTGAGAAACTATGTGAACTTTACAGATTTTTGAGTTGATAAATGAAAGAATTAGATGGAAGAAATACCTGTTGGTGAAATAATATCGGTAAATTTCGAATGTGTGAATATTGACTAATTTATTTTATAGTCCAATAAGCATATTTATAAATATTTAATTAAGTAAAAGTTGGCTGACTATTGTCATGTTATCAATGCAATCGATAATTAGCTATCAATCAATATAAAGATATTGATTGATTTTAATTGTGAGATACAATTATCATACTATACGTGAACTTATAATTATATACTTTTGTTTCTTATGCTTTTTTTATCAATCAAATATTTCAAATTTAAAATTTTTTCATTTTAATTTACCTCTTAAATTTAAAGTTTATTGCAATATAATAAGCCATTTGAATAATTAATTTCATATTTTAATTGTTAAAGTCATTGAGATTTTTTGAAATTTTAAAAAAGGAATTAATTAAATATTTGTAATTGCTATTTATTTATTTTATACGCTATAAACTCTACAGGTTTAATCCAACAAAAGAAGGCTTCCAATATTTCTCAGACAAAATATCTGATTAAAATACTTAATGAATCTTTTTGCATATAATAATTAAAAAGTACAAATTAAAATTCAACACAAAAAAAACGAATTAAAAATTAAATGAATCTTCAATTGCTATCATTTGATTTCTCATTAAATGAATTTTAAATGAATTATTCGTGTTCTTCTATTCTTATTTCTTTTAATTACACTTATTCCCATAATTATTGCTTTATCTTATAATTTCAATTAATTATTTATCAATTTATATTAATTTTACTATTGGATATAATCAATAATAAATTAATAATATTATTCTTTTCCTAAATTTTTTACCAAATAATATATCTTTAAAAAAAAGTAAACATCATTTCCCATTTTTCACTATTATAATACTTATTTAAAATCGATTTCGAATTTCGATTAAAATATTATTTTCATTAAAATAGAAATTGGAAATTGAAACGAATAAGAAAAAAAAATCATTTCCCATTTTTCATTATTATAATTCTTATTTAAAATCGATTACAAATTTCAACTAAAATTGGAAATAGAAATTGGAAATGGAAAAGAGAAAAGAGAAATAATAAAAGAATGAAAGGAATAATTGTCAAAAACAAAAGAATTATCAATCCTTCCAAATCTTTTATTTTTTTCTAAAAAATAAAGGATTTCGTTTAAAATTTTCTTTCATTTTTTTCACTTTACTTTAAAATTTTTTTTTCATTTTACAAATGAAAGAATTTTCTTTTGTTTTAATGAATTATTGTTAATTATAACAATAATTTAATTAATGCTAAATGATTAATTGTTGTTATAATTAGCATTTAATTATTGTATTTAATGTAACAGTTTGTTTTCAGTTTTAAAGCATTTCTCAGAATGCAACAAATGAAGTCAATTAATTTTTCTGTATTAAATTAAATTCAATTGCTATCTTATATTTATAACATATAACTGTCACTTTTCACTAATTTTTTTATCCTTCTAATTATGACAGCTATTAATCAATTAATTCAGTCTAAAACAATTGTACAATAAATAAGCCTAGCAAAAATATAATGCCAGTTTTTTCGATTTATTTGAAACTTCCGGAACATATAATTCAATTAATTTTTGATAAAGTTTAATTATATTTGAAATGTTAATTTTTCAAATGAAATAATTAATTTAAGATTTTCTTCTTTTCGATGTTTGCTTTAATTTAATTATTTCATTAAATTTAAATGAAATCATTTTTTATTTAAACGTATTTGTTTTTATTGTCTTCACTTAATTTTTTTTAATTTCATTAAAATCTTTTATTATATCTTTTAAAGTTAAAAAATAAACAATCATTTCATTTTTAATTGAAAATAACAGAGAAGAGAAACTAAACATACATTATGTATGTATTATCTCTAACGCTAATTATAATTAATTAATTACAAATTAGAATGAAATAATTATTTAATGAAATTCTCTTTTTTGCTAAAATTATTTGTTAGTTATTAAATTTTTATCAATTCATTATGTAATTAAACAATTCCAAAATTTGTTTTGGTTTTTTTTCCATTTAATTAAATACTAATTATAATTAAGTAATTGTTTTTAATTTCCGATCAGAATATAACCAACCTTACTTTGATGAAGAAAAATCACAAAAGTGGAAAAAAAATATCGATTGATAACATTTTTGTTGTTTCGTCGTTTTTTTTTCCCGGTATTTATCGAAATAATTACTTCAACAACTTTTGTTATGAATGTATTATTGGCAGCTATGTTTTTATTCATTTTCATTTGTCAGTTAGATGACAGAATAAATGGGCGCAGCTGTTTCCTTTCCCATCATTTCATTTCATTTCATTTCATCCTGAAATTTCTCATCATATGTTAAAATATATTTGAAAAGAGAGAGAGAGAGAGAGAGAGAGAGAGGAAAAATGAAGAAACAAAAAAGAAGTGAAAAAAAATAAAAATAGAAAATGAAAGAGAAAGTTTGTTCTCAAAACTAAATTGAATTTAACAAAACTATAGCTTACATCAAAGATAGTCCACATTTGATGTATACAATTTTAATTGTTTTCTATTTTGTTGAATATTATATTTCACGTGTATCATTTCTAAAACGTATGCGTGATATAAATATGTGTTACTCGAAGAATTATTTATTATACATATATAATTATTAAATTATGCTTCAGCTAATTAATATAGCTTTTTTTGGCGTCATTTTCTTAAATTTGTTTTAATTTCTTATAGTCTTTTTAAATTATTATTTTATTGAAACATATCATTTATTTATCACTTATGGATTTAGTGAAGAAAATATAAATGAAATTTAAAGTATTAATTTAATTAATTTCGAATAATATCCAATTTTGCCTTCCTGTAAAATGAATTGTTTTTATTAATTACTTCGAATTATACCTTTTTTTTATTTACCTTTGCCAAATATTTTACATTATTTGTTTGCTTTTAATTCATTCACTAAAAATTTTATAAATTTGAAATTTTCCAATTAAATTATTACAATTAATAGAATCAACGCATTTTCTTCATGGCAGAAGTGAAACCGAAACTTCGACGAGTTGTTACATTTACCAAAAATAATCATCGTTGGTCGAGGACATTCGATGAAACTGATTTAAGGTTGCTAATTTCATCCTGTCTAAAATTGATTAATGATTTAACTTACATTTGATTTATTCTCTTTTTTACATACATCTATCTTATTGCTTTTTTTCTATAATATGAAGTGAACAAAAGTTATTACTTACCTTTAATTAACAATAATTATTTAGCTTATAAACAAACATAGCATATTTACGAAGTCTTAATTCTTCTCAATGAAAATAATAAATTGAAATAAAATGAAGGAAAAATGAATACTTAAATTTTCTATTTTCCATTGTTTATTCATCGGAGCCATTTTTTTTAAATCTTCAAAAACACTTCTTACACATTCTTTCTTAAAATAATTATTAGAACAATGTAATTAGACAATCAATTAGTTAATTTGGACAATCATAATTACTTAACAATATTCTATATCAAAAAAAATAATATTCTATATCAAAAATCAATCTCTTTACATTATTATTGTTTATAATTCACATAATGATTTTTATTATCAATCTGCACAATCTCTCGCTTCGCCAAATGAATTGAAATTTTACAAACTAACTTAAGCTTAATAAAATGACACATAGACTATAGAACTTGTATAATACAACAAATACTAATTACAAATTATTTAATGCCATTATTAATTAAATCTTTTACTTTTAGGAAAGAAGAAGAACCGAAAAGCAAAGATAATGAGAAAGTTGAAGTTGATAAAAAAGATATTTTCGATGATGGATCGAAAAATGCTGCATTTAAACGGCGTCAAACGATCGATTGATCATGAATTCCGGGTAATGTTGCCCGATTAATTCCGGTTATTGATTCGTTTTGTCCTATTTAAAAAAATTATATATGCTATGTCAGGATAGATTTTGTTGTTAATCGTTTGAAATATCAAATAATTTGAGGTATTTTTATCATTTCAAATTTCTATAAAATCTTCCAAGTGATAAAATTCAAAAGTTCTGAAAACTTTCCACAAAAAATGATAGGTAAAATTTATTCTTTATTCGTTTATTTTTTGCTCTATGTTACAAATATATATCATATCTAATTGATAAGAAATGAAATTGCAATGTAGAAATGGCTTATATCAGAAATCAGATTATCAATGGTAGGAGAATATAGTCTAGGATTAAAAGCTTGGCCATTACAAATAACAAGTGCATATCACTATCAGAAATGATTAATAAATCTTGCAATTGAGATGAAACTTTGATGATAATCGCTGATAAAATGATAATTGTATTTATCCGACACATCACTCCATTTTTATTACAAAAATGACTAAATTTGTCATTATGATAGCAAATACAATCATTAATGACTAATTAACAGATACATACCTTTCCCCAATTAATACCTATAGTTAACACAATCACTATCATTTCTTATTTACCAAAATTGATTTATTATTTGGTGATTATTTGAAATGAATGTTTATCATCTCTGGCAAACTTTCAATAATAGTTGAAAACATTTTGTGCATATTTATTGATTTGACGAAAAGAAGTATTTGTTGTAAAATTTTCTTTTTTTCCATGAAATATTTGTTTAGAATTATTTGTAAAGTGTGGAAACTTTTTAAATGAATAAAAATAAAGGAAGAAATAATTAATGATTGAATTAATTAATGTAAATTAATAAAATGAATATGTAGAAAACTGATAAAGAAAATTTGTCTTTTATTCGAAAATATGAAATTATTAATATTAAATTAATTTCTATTCGGATATTCTCCGCTTATTCATTAATTCATTAACAGATATGTATGTGTTAATGTATATCAAAATAAGCCAACAACTACGAAATGATGGAATTAAAAGAGAAAAATTTTAATTCATTTAAAATATCTCATTTTCCAACAATAACTTTTGTGCAATTTTACTGCCACATTAAAATATAATTAAATCACAGCCAATAAATAATTTAATTTAAATAAATTTGTAAAGCCTAAAATATGCAATTGAAATCAATATGTATTATATTTGTTGTTGTGCGAACAATTTATTTTAGTAAACAATTAAATGATATTAAAATTAAATTTAAACAAAACAAATCTTAAAAATATTTTTACGTTTAAAACTTTCCAAATTTTAATTTATCCAAAATTTATTTGAACAGATTTTGGGTAAAAGCTACAAATTCTCATTCTCTTTCCCTCCTTTATCATCAGATGACAGCTAAATTTATTATATTTCTAAAGTAATAATTTCCCTTTTAGGAACGAACTATAATTCTCATATAAATAAGCAATAATAAATTTTGATAATAAATTTCAAATTTTTATAACTATCTTAAAATGATTTCATTAATAATATTATCACAATATTTTTTTAAAAGTGAATATGTGTTTATATCAATGAATGACACTTTTTATATGTCAAAGGTTAAATTAGAAAATTTTAATATTTCAAAAATAAGCAATGAAAAATTTTACCACTAATTTAGCATTGAAAATTTGCATTAATGAATAAAATATGCAAAATTTCACTAACGATATCAATATTAAATGAAATTTTATTAAATTTAAAATTTGATTTCTGGCATTAGCATTTATTTCGCAATGTAACAAATTTATTTCATTCATATCATTTCATTTTTGGATCGTTCAGGAAAATCAAAATCGTAAAATTTCGGAAATTACAATTAAAAGCATTTGATGAGTCATATGAAAGATATGTTTATTTTAAATTTAAATTCAAATTCATTCCGTTCAGAAATTGATTTGTTTATTTTAAATTCAAATTCAATTCCGTTCAGGAATTGTTTTAATGGTATCACAAAGAATCATAATAAAGAAGGAATGATAAATCCGATAGCTTATATCATAAGTTATCCCATTTAAGTTGATTATCACGGAACTAATCATTGAAAATTTGAATTGTTCATAAATTCTTTTGATGAATTTAAAAAGGATATACAATTTAAAAAACACAAAATTAAATGTAAACACATTATTTATTTATCATTTTTCAGTATTAGAGAAACGAAATAAAGAGAGAGAGAGAGAGAGAGAGAAAAAGAGAGATTTCTTTTCAAATTAAATTCAAAATTACATTAGAGAATTTCCCTCCATCTCTCTCTCTCTCTTTCCTCTCTTTCTTTCTCTTCATTATTAGAACTGTCCTGTTCGTTCGTTCTATTGTATTTTGTGGCATTGGCTAACAAACAAACGACCAGTTGGTCATCTATAAAGGATTTCGGAAAGCGGTTTATTTACATTACCAAACGGTCATTGCACATCCTTTTGCTCCTTTTGCTTCATCCGCCGATTATCAAAGAAGCTTCCGGTAATTTAACATCTTATCTTTCTCATCCCTTTTTCCTTTTACCTTTCCCTTGTAACGATTGTTATCAATGTAATAAAAAGATCCAGTTTTTTTTCTCTATCTTCTAATGGGTCTATCTTTTTTTCTTCTGTTTCCTGTTCCTTAAAACCCGAAATTAGTAACGTAATAAAAAGTTCCGGTAGGAATAAATTGATTTAATTAATATCATCCGTACAGATATATAAACGTATAAAATTTTAGTACTTCTCATATTGCTAATTGGCATTAAGATAAAAGGTTCAAATTATATTGTTTTAGGTAGAAGAAAACAATTTTACATTATTGCGAAAAGAATTGAAAGAGAAAACGTTTCAATTCAAATCATTGAAGAAAGACAAAATATAAGAAATAAAAATAAATTATATTATCCAACTGGCGCCATGAAAAAGCGCAGTTGTCGCTTATTATCTTATGGATAGTTTACCAGGTAAGAATAAAAACAAAACGACATTTATTTGTTTGAAGCGGTCCAAATGAAATTGATCAATTACTGATCGGAAATAAAAATGAATTTATATTACATGAAGAAATCGACCGTTTAAATTGATAATTTTACTCTAATTTTTATTCCAACTCTTTTAATTAGATTAAAACAAATGATTTTAGCCGAATAATTCAAATTGTTCAACAATGAATTGGAAAACAAATCCAATAATAGTAACTTATGAAATTTGTCGATAGCATAATATGGAAATTTTTAAAAATTTCCATCAAAACTTCGGTACATTTAAAAATCTATTTTTTCCTAATAAAGTGAAATTGCAAAATTGCTTGCAAATTATTTCAAAATTTGTTATTACATAAATTACAATTTTATATGAAAAATTTCCCTCACATTTTTGATATTTAATTTCAGTAAAATATATATTTAATTTTGAATAAACTGCCAATTTAACCGATTTTAATTGCTTTAGGAATAAATTAAAGATAGCCAATAGTTTTAAAAATGATAGCATTGATCAGAAAGTAAAGAAATCCAAAATATAAAATACCATAAAATTTTTGCTGGCTATTCAAATTTTTGAACTTAAATAACGAAATGCAAATTTTCTTAACTTAAAAATTAACTTAAAGATTTTATGGTACTTTTATGAGTAAACAATAAACAATTTCTGAATGTGTTTGAAAATAGGAAAAAGGAAAGAATTTCAAAAAATAATAAATATTGCAGAAAAATTATCTTTGGTAATTTTTTCCTTTTCGAAGAAATAAAAATTTGAAATATAAAAATTGTTGTTGAAAAGTTTTTAGAATATCTTTTCTTCAAATTCGTTCGTTGTTGTTAATGACAGCTTATCAAATCATATCAGTCTCTTTTATTGCTATCACAACCGTTAACTGTCTCATATTTTCTGATATTAAATTTTATGAACTATTTCAAAGTTATGAATGGTATGATATCGTTCAATTCTTTCTCATAAATTGTAAAATTTTCCCATCCATCTTATGGGAATATTTTTTTACTACAATTTTTCTTTTTCGTTTCCATTCGTAATGATTAATAAAAATGAAGATAAAAGAAAAAGAATGAATACTGGATCCTGAAAAGAAGAAATTCCGATAATTAAATCCTATATGATAAGAATTCCGGATGCTTGCAAGGAAATGAAATAATCAATAAAGTAAGCAAATTAAAGAACGAAAATTAGATTTCATTGTTTTAGAAAAATTTTTTGATACGATGACATACATACATTGTTATTGACTATAATCATGTTTAAAATATTATCCATTTTATGCTGATTATTACATATAAAACTAATTATGTAATTTATGATAACAAATAATGATAATAAATAATAACAATTATAATAACAATAATAATAGTAAACTTTTAAATCAAAAGAAGGGAAATAATGTATGCAAACATAAATGATTATATACAGTAAAGAACAATGTGTAATTAAGTATTTTTCTATTTCATTAAAAAAAACATTATTGAAATTTAATTATAAATTATCACAAACATAAGCATTACTTTTAATCGCAAGTAACATTTAATTGTTAACTTATCACTTTCCCAATAAACAACAATGAATTTAAAAAAAAGAAAAACTAGATAAGATCGCAGTAAAATGTCGCACAATCGCTACTTCAATATCTTACTGTTTACTTCACATTTCTGTCTTCCATTACAATTAATTAATTTAATTTTTTAATGTAACTATTTCCAGTGATTAATTAATTATTGGTCTTACCATTCTTTTCTATTGTTTTATTCCTTTTCACTTATGCTTTTCGTTAAATTCAATTCTTTTTCCAATTCACTTTTATACTAAGATACGTTAATAATTTCCGCTGATTTCAGAGCAAGTCAAATTATAAACCTGACCACTACCAACTTTACCTTAACTTCCCATACTAATAATATACGTTATCAAATGTGCAAGTCGATAAGCTTGGATCTGTTCATTTATGTTGGTTAGATTAAAGCTTGGAGAAGTAA